CATCTAAAGTCAAGATTGGAGGAAAAGACATTGTTGTAAAAAATATAAAGACATATTGTTGTAACTCACAACAAAACAAATGGGAGAATTCCCTATGGAATGGATGATTTGAGGCTGAGCCTTCAAGATTCTTCTCTTCATTTGACTGTTTCTTCTCTTTTTCTCTTGGTTAAGGCTACAGGCAAGAAAAATGTTGTAGTTATGACATTCAAACCACCAGCAGCTTCAAAATGAGAACTACTTGAGTAAGATATCCAGCAGGGAGCATGGGCCTCATGAGGCACTTATGGTTCTGCACTGTGGAGCCTGTAACAAAATGCTGTAGGTCCTGCTGGATTTCATGTAGATGTGATGCAAAACAGATTACCTAGTCATAGAGAAAAGCATCTAGTCCCCATTAGAAACACAAAAGTGCATCCATTTGTAAAAATAATTAATTTTATTGAGACTGGGGGAGTTGTCTGAACTTCTCAGCATCTTAACAACAGTCTCAATGAGGTTGAAGGGACAGAGGTTGATGACAAGTTCCTCCTCAAACTTGTTTGCACATGTTTGCTTTGGATATGTTTCCAATGCTTCTGGCTAAGAGATTATCTTGTCAGTGTTTTAAATGGTGTGAGAATTGAAGGAACAAATCATTATTTCAAACTTGAAACAAACAAATTGATACAAACTAATTGATACAAACTAATTGATAAACTTATAAGTTGCATTATTCCTCATCTTCTTATGAAAAAAAATTAAGGTCAAAGCACTAAGGTGAATTTCATAGATGTCCACAACAATTATAATTATAATACTGCAGACTTGTAAAATTGGACGTAATAAATAGGTTTGTTTCTTCCTGTTTTAAAGAATGATAGAACACTACTCATCAAATATTACATTAGACTTGTATTGCCCTTAATTTTGAAGGACTGTTGTGTCCTTTGCACCTTGCCAGAAGTGCAATTAAATTTTTTAGTGATGTTTAGCTGAAATTCAGGTAATGCAGAGCATCAAACACAGGCAATAGAACTATGGGGAGAGAAAGGAAAAGGAAAGGAAAGGAAAGGAAAGGAAAGGAAAGGAAAGGAAAGGAAAGGAAAGG